ACCGACTCCCTTGCAGTAAGTTACATTTGCACGTAAGAGTACTTTGAATAGCCTATGTTCCGGTTTCACTCTCCCCTTGAACCTCCCATTCCAATTTCTTTCTTCTCCATCTGATTTTATTTCCCCTTCCCTCAGCATTACAAAGACAATGGCTGTCATGCCTAATGATCTCAGTACAAAAGATACACTTAAAGTGGCTCTGTCACAGATATATATATAATTTTTTTTAATGTCACCTCTGCCTCCCAAGTCTTCAATACCGCACTGTTCCCGAGCCGTATTTATTTGCTCCCATCTTCTAATTGCTGGCAGTGACGTAATATAGCTGCCTTCTATTGCTCATAGTGACGGAGGGAACCATGAGTAATAGAATGATGAGCACTATAGAAACAGCCACACTTTCCCAGTAAGCCGCGAGCGATGACAATTAAACTGGTTATGCGTGGTGCTCAAAAATCTCGCAATGTAATGGAGAAAGGAGAGGATAGAGAGGTGAGTATTGTGGGAAAAGTTATATTGACACAGGAAGCTTGCTTTAAAATCCAACCTTTGTCAAGCATAGAAAAATAAATAAGGCAAAATAGACCCTATTTTGTCTTATGTTTTAAAGAGAAATAGATCAGAAATGAAGAAAAGAAGAACAGATTTTGAAAGAGGAAGAGAAGAGGAAACAACAGGACAAAGGTAAGTTTAAGGTGACAAGGCCACCTTAAAAGGACACTATAAACACTCAAACAAATTTAGTTTAATGAAATGGTTTTAGTGTATGCATCATGCCTTAGCAGTCTCGCAGTTAAAATATTTGCCATCTAGGAGTTAAATCACTTTGTTTCTACAACCCTGCATCAATCTAGTTACTTTGTCATTGTAATGGGTTTGTTATTTTTAACTGCAAAATAATTTCATACTTCTCAAGTGTTTCTGTGGTCCAAAATTCCTCTGTTACTCTTTTTTGTCTTATTTGATTTTGCGGGAGAAATAAATATAATTGTTTAGGAATCACAACATTAAATAAATTGGTGTTGTTCTAAGAGTAGCATTTCCAGTGGATGAAATCACCTAAATTGTCTCAGAGTTGGCCAACAAATGGTCACACCTCCTATCACAACCCTTCATTGGCTCTTTAATTGTTAAAAAGGTAATGCAATTGCATCCAGTTATATTTGTAACATATATGGTTATACAAAAATCAGAAAATAGGATTCTGGAGTTTACAACATTTCTTAATGAAGAATTATTGATTGATATAAACCTAAAGCTTGGATTTTGAAAAAGGTTTGACTGATTATCAAGTATCATTAGTGATGTCCCGAACGGTTCGCCGCGGACTCATCATTGAGTAAACTTTGACCCTGTACCTCACAGTCAGCAGACACATTCCAGCCAATCAGCAGCAGACCCTCCCTCCCAGACCCTCCCACCTCCTGGACAGCTCACCAAGAATGCAGCTTCACAATGAATGTAAAATGGATGCTGTCCAGGAGGTGGGAGGGTCTGGGAGGGAAGGTCTGCTGCTGATTGGCTGGAATGTGTCTGCTGACTGTGAGGTACAGGGTCAAAGTTTACTCAATGATGAGTCCGCGGCGAACCGTTTGGGACATCACTAAGTATCATATTATACTGTATGTGCTATAATTAATCTGTAGAAAGGAGAATAACCATCTGGCCACTCTATCTTTTCTCTTTTCCAGAATCTAAGGAATGAAGAACAGGTTGCCATAATTCAAGCAAGCACTGTATTGTCCCTAGCTGAAAAGGTAACTGTAAATTATTGATTAGCCATAGAAGACATTAGTCAGTATTACTGGCAGGTAATTGTGAGCTAACAAACAGATACAATAATAGTTCTTTAAAAGTTCTCATGCATAATTTAAATATGTCTATGGCGGATGAAAATTATATGCTCAGGATACAATGATCAAATAGAAGAAATAATACTGAAACTATTACACCCATGCAAAGCACATCATATATTTATTGCATGTTATATATGTGTGTAAATAAAAACACAATAGTTATTTTAGGCAATGGACAATTTTTTATTTTTTTTTGACCCAGGGCATATTATAGAAATTGCACCATATCAACCTCCATATCTATATTCATATGTCATATATTAATATGAATTTTTCAGAAAATGTTATTGAATCTTTTATACCAAATAAATGCACTGAGGGTATATTTCACCAGTTCTTGATATTCCTCCCTATCTATCTATCTATCTATCTATCTATCTATCTATTCTATTCTATCTGCCAAACAGCATTATTTTACTGAATTAAAGCTGTTGGACCACTTCAGTGGTCCATTAAGAAGCACCTTAAAGTAATGGGCCCTCTAGTGGCTATTATACAAATTGCACAGAAAGAGTCTGTTATTTGTTGTATTTTTTTGTTTTTTGCAATTAGTGCTTTAAACTGTTCTAACATTATGTTAAATTACAAAAAAAAATTATAATACTTGACATGGGTATTTGACAGGTAAAATAATAAAATAAAAAATAGTGTGTTACCTAAAATAATAGAATAATAGGTGTTGTGACTGCTTGACCAGGTAGGACCATTTAATGGTAGAGCTGACAAACTAATATTATACTATACAATATTTTTAATATGTTGAAACACGTGTTGTGATAAACATTACACATTATGCATCAGACACAATATTTTTTTTTTTTTAGAGATATATCTATCTCATATCTGGGGGGGGGGAGAACAAGCAAACATTACTGTGGAGACTAGCTGCAAACTATGATCAACACACAACTAGGAAAAGGTATCATAATAATGTTTCATAATACAAACAGAGGCAGAACATACACAACTGTAGGATAAGTGTTTGGGGCCTCATGACACATAAGTTCCAGAGGCATTCTAAGAGGTTGTGTTATATAATATACAGGTGAAGTGGTCAACTAGGAAGGATGTAAATTAAATTATATTATTAGCATTCCTATAAGTAAATGTCAGCTAAATTAAATCAAAGTAAATTAAACTAGCTAATATAGAAATTTCAAATTAGTACATACTATGGCAAAGTAGAGGACCTCGAAGTGGTGCTAGCTTTTATGAACACTGTGATATTCGAGACATCCCTCGGTGGTCAAGGTAGTGCATCTGGGTCTCCATTTAATGTTACAGAATAAGTAATAGAGAGCCCCAGTAATACAATAAGTTAATCATGCTCCACTAGACTTAATTTGTTCCACTCCACTAGATAGTATGAGATTTATGACTGATGTCCATCTCTATCTGATATTGTGGTAGCCTTACAGTACTGTTCAGTGAAACAGTTAATACTGACAAATGGCAGTTTGTGTAATAATATTTATTTTGCCCGACAGTGGATACAGCAGATAGAAGGGGCCGAAGCAGCTTTGCATCGGAAGATGATGGAGTTAGAGAGCGATATGGTAAGGATGTATTACACTTAATATTAAAGGGACACTATAGTCACCAGTGCAACTACATGTATTCCTGACCCTATAGTGTTAACACAACCATCTAGCCCCCCTAGGCCCCTCATGCCTCCATAAATATAAAAATCTTACTGTATTCAAGCCAGAAGCTGTAAATCTGCATGCTGTACGACTCAGGAAAAACAAGCAGTCTGCTGACATGTGATAGCCTGATCCAATCACAGTGCTTCCCCATTGGATTGGCTGAGACTGACAAGGAGGTAGATCATGGGCAGAGCCAGGATGATTCAAACACAGCCCTGGCCAATCAGCATCTCCTCATAGAGATGAATTGAATCAATGAATCTCTATGAGGAAAGTTCAGTGTCTGCATGCAGTGGGAGGAGATACTGAATCACAGGATGCTTGTGCACAGCATATCTGAGTGGATGGAGGCATATCCCTCTGGTTTACTCTGAGTGACTGCAACTGGAGGTGTTCCTAGCTTTCAATGTAAACACTGTATGTTCTCAGGAAATACAGTGTTTACATGAGAAAGGCTGCAGGGAGCTATAGTTCTCACCTGAACAACCTCATTAAGCTGAAGTTGTTCAGGTGACTATAGTGTCCCTTTAACACTTTACAAGTTTAAAGAAATGTGTGTACCCTGGCTAAAATACTGGGCACTGGTACAAAACCAACCACAATAAACTGAAAAGTGATCATAAAAAACACCTTGTACCTTTCCCCTCTCCCTCCCCCCCCCCATGTATATAGTACTCCCCCGCCTCCCAGAAATACAGAACGATAAGATAACACTAGTGGTACTATAACGTAAAGGTCAATGGGAATTGAAGTCTATTTCAATATTGCTGTATAAAGTGTATGTACCATCACTATCCTAACCTACCCCCCCCTTTTTTTTCCTTCTGTATCCCCGTTATCCGTTGTGAAATACCAATAAAATTTGAATAATTTTCCTCCATATGAACAGCAAAGCACACGTTTAGCTTAATCAGTATAGACATTAGTAATATTATTAAAGGGACACTCCAGATCCTTAAAGCACTTCTACTTGCACATATTGTGTAGAGTGTCTTTTTTTTTTTTTATGTTTTGTTTTTTTACAGAAAGTGCATATTTCAAAAGAAATTGGCACTTTTATAAATTAACCTTGTTACACCCCCTGGCTGTCAATCAGATTTTGTCCCTGGTTGTTTAGCTGAGGGAACTAAACTCAAGATGAAGCAATTACCGAGAACATCTGCCTAGTAAAGACTTCTCATTGAGCTGCATTGGGAATCTGTGATTGGACAGCCACAGAAAATCTAGGCTGGGTATGAAGGGGAGGGCTTGGCAGCAGACATGAGATTTGCAGGTTTCACAAGGTACTTTTAGTTATATCCCCACTGAAAAAAAGCATAATTAATTGCATACATATTTTTGTGCTGAAAAACCCCCACTCGACTTATACTCGGGTTAATGTCTGTATTATGGCAACTTACATTGCCATAATACAGACCAGGACCGCCGGGCTCATTACAAACCCAGCGGTCCTGTTGGGGGCTGGCAGCGAGCTGTAACTTACCTTTCCTGCAGCTCCTGTCAGCTCCCTTTTCTCTCCTCCGTTCCGGTCAGCTTCCCTGTCAGCTCCACTGTAAACCTCGCAGCCCCAAGACTGACAGTGGAGGAGAAGGGAGCTGACCGGACCGGAGGAGAGAGAAGGGAGCTGACAGGAGCTGCAGGAAAGGTAAGTTACAGCTCGCTGCCAGCCCCCCTCCTACACAGTGCACATCACTGGACCACCAGGGATTGAGAGCCCCCCTCCCTGGCCAGCTAACAAGCAGGGAGGGGCGACGAAAGAAAATATAAATAAAAAATGTAATAATATTAAAATTAAAAAAAATGTAATAATAATTAAAATAAAATAATAAAAATGCCCACCCCCCACCAAGGCTCTGCATCACATACACACACTGCACTCATACACACACGCACTGCATTCATACACACACACACACACTGCACTCATACACACACACACTGCACTCATACACACATACACCGCATCCATACACACACACACACTGCACCTCATACACACACACTGCACCATACACACACGCATCCATACACACACACACACACCGCACCCATGCACACACACCGCACCTCATACACACACATTCATACACACACACTGCACTCCATACACACACACACTGCATCCATACACACACACACTGCACTCCACACGCACCGCATTCATACACACACACCGCATACACACACACACACTGCACTCATACACACACACACTGCACTCATACACACACACCGCATCCATACACACACACACACACACTGCACTCATGCACACACACACTGCACTCATACACACACACAGCATTCATACACACACACACACTGCACTCATACACACACACTGCATTCCACACACACACACTGCACTCATACACACACACACTGCATTCATACACACACTGCACTCATACACACACACACACACACACTGCATTCATACACACACACACTGCACTCATACACACAGACACTGCATTCAACACGCACACACACTGCACTCATACACACACACTGCATTCATTATATACATACACTGTAAATAAATATTCAATTAATATAATTTTTTTGGGATCTAATTTTATTTAGAAATTTACCAGTAGCTGCTGCATTTCCCACCCTAGTCTTATACTCGAGTCAATACGTTTTCCCAGTTTTTTGGGGTAAAATTAGGGGTCTCGACTTATATCCGGGTCGATTTATACTCGAGTATATACGGTATATTATTTTTCGTATTTGGGAAGCGGAGTGTCCCTTTAAGTTGTTTAAATCAGCTACATTATAATTGCTGTTATCTAAATTCTGTAAGTTGCAGATTCTTAGAAATATTTTGAAAAATAAATAAATATATATATATATATATATATATACATACACACACACACAATACACAAGATCCTAACTCATCCACTAAACATCAACTTCAAAGCACCCAGATTGTATTAGTTTTTAAAAAAAAAACACCTAATCTAGGCAAAATAATGGACATTTTCAGGTAAGTGCAGCACCTTGGTTTCATATATATTTGGGAGTCAGGCCAACTCCTTTGTTTTGCACCCCTCCCTGTCACAGGTGCCTCATTCCAGGGTCATGGAATGTAGTACAGAGAACCCCAGATTAAATTTTCCCCCCATGTAAGTGGGTTAATCTCATAAGAGCAGACATTAGGCTGATAGAGTAGGACCTGACAAAGATGGATTACATTAACGTTGTAGCAGGCTTATGCATTGTATGATCACATACTGTAACTAAACCCCCATTATTTTTGCCTAGATTAGCTGTTTTTATTTATTCATTTTTTCTAAAATTTTCAAGTGTAATTCTATATTTAAAGTATCTTTTACAAATACGCTGAAGTAGAAAAAAAACTGCGTTCACACAACCATTCATACCTGTCCTGGTGTGAGAGTGGAGGTGTTAGTTGGAAGGAGTCTCAGGCAAGTCTGTAACCAGAGGCCAGAGTCTCCATATGTCATTATATAACCCCAAGTTCTCAAGACTAACATCTACAGCTTTCTCCATGTATATACAATGCCAGCATTTACCCAACTCCTTATATTTATATTATCAAGATGTAGGGACAAAGCTTGTATAGGAGCATCCAAGGAGATACATTCTTTACTATTATGCTTCTGTCTTACAAGATGGGTACCATGATGAATTTCACCTAAGACTTTATTTTCACATTAAGTCATTTAATAGCCAAGTTATCTGCCCAAAGCAAGAAAAAAGGTGTCTAGTTTAGGTGTTTTTAAAAAACTAATAAAATCTGTCAGCTTTGAAGTTGCTGTTTAGTGGATGAGTGAGTGCACTGGATCTTGTGTAAATTGGTCCCATCAGCACCACATTTATGCATGTTCAGGTGAGTGCAGCCCCCTGGTATATATATATATATAGTGTGTGTGTGTGTGTGTGTGTGTGTGTGTGTATATATATATATATATATATATCTCACATAGAGTTCAAGATTTAAACACCTTTCTATGGTGTTGGTTCAGTAACAGTATAGCATGTGTTAAGTATCAATAATAACAATTTATTACTTTTCCAGAACATAATTTGTTTCCCATATTGAAAGGTTCAACACTATGTGGAATATAATTTACAGAATTTGGCATATCAAACTGATATATTTTGCCATATCTTATTGTATGTGTTGCCTGTTTTCTCCTAACCTTGGTCTGTATCCCTTATAGCTGAAAATGTACGTTTTTCTGTAAAGGTTCCTTGATTTCAGACAAATAACAGCAAAATTGTTAATGCGCTCAGGTACTAAATATTACTTACAGAAAGTACTATTAAAAATCTTTTAAATGGGGACACTTTAGTGGTTATGGTCTCAGTATGCCCCTGGTGCTGTCCCGCAATTCTGTGGCAAGATCTCTCGAGTGGTTTGCCAGAAACTGAGACTCTGGGGTTTTGCCCTTTCTTCAGCGTATTGGTATTGAAGTTCCACTGTGAGACCCTCGGTTTCTATCAAAAACAGTTTAACACAGAATTAGGGGGTGGAACTAGTAATGTGCTGGTAATAAATGCTTGACAAGAACCGGAGGACAGTACCAGGGGCATGCTGGCACCATGACCATTAAAGTAGGCTATTAATTAATCACATATTAATTGATAATAGGTCCCACTTGAAACTGAGACTCTGGGGTTTTGCCCTTCCTTCAGCGTATTGGTATTGAAGTTCCACCGTCAGACCCTCGGTTTCTATCAAAAACAGTTTAACACAGAATTAGGGGATGGAACTAGTAACGTGCTGGTAATAAATGCTTGACAAGAACCGGAGGACAGTACCAGGGGCATGCTGGCACCATGACCATTAAAGTAGGCTATTAATTATTATTATTATTATTATTATTTTATTATTTATATAGCACCAACAAATTCCGTAGCGCTGTGCAATGGGTGGACTAACAGACACATAATTGAGATCAGACCACTGACGTACAGGAACAGAGGGGGTTGAGGGCCCTGCTCGATGAGCTTACATGCTAGAGGATTAATCCAATATTAATTGATAATAGGTCCCACTTGATAGCACTTGTAGTTGAATTGAAGATTCTACTGTTTAGTACCATTGTAGAATTGTGAGGCCATACAGAGGATGTAAATATAAAACCTAAATCCGCTCAACATATCCACACCCATTGCATGGGAGCCTTTCTTACCAGTATTTAACCCGACTGGTGATTCTACTTATGATCTTAATAAGTAGCACTGTCCTTGTTTGTTTGTAATCAGTATTAGGCAGCAACGCAATGTATGAATACATTTTTATCTGTGATTTGTTACTCTTTCCTGATCCGTGCACAGGGACATTTTAAACACAGTGGTGTAGGGAAAATATGGCAATTATTCCACTTTCCAGTACCAATGGATGTTTATTTACCCTAACACGGTCAATTACCTCAGGGTTAATACTTCAAGAACCAATTGATTTTACACCTAATTTTTAATACTTTTCAGACTAATCTAAACAATAGGATTGTCTTGTTTCTTGGTACTGTTTATGTAATTACATTTGGAGCCTAAAGTCTTCAATATGTATTTTTCACACCTCTCTTATTGTATCTCTGTTCATTTATGCTCTCTAATTGCACATTTTAATATCTACCTGTGTCATAAATTAAATTCCTTAGGAGCAGTTCTGCAAGCTGAAAGGCTACTTGGAAGAAGAGCTGGATTACAGGAAGCAAGCCCTGGATCAAGCATACATGGTATGGGTTTAAAGCAATTGTCAACTGTAAAACACACAAATCCAAGTTTCCCATTACGCTAAATATACATGCGCCTGTGGGTATTTTAAATTTGGGTGCACCTGGCTACCAGATGTCATCGTAAGCATTGTTTTATAACGGAGTCCTCTAAATAAATCTACAGAGCTGACGGAATGCTTACGGCTAAAACTACATTTCGCTTTAATTTTCTAGCAAATTTACAAGGACTTTACAGCAGGGAATGACAAATTCTAAACCAAGTCCTGTAGCCCTGTTGCCACCTGTATGTTTATTGAAGCATGTCAATACTGGGTATTTATACAGTAGTATCGTTCAAATCTGTCCTTAGGATACATCAACATGCAGGACTTGTATATACATCTGCTGGTGCCTGGGTGTCCCAATAAAAATGACAGAGCCACTGATTAATTCACCTTTGCTAAAGCAGAGGTTTCTTAAAACTATGTTCTGATTTTACCTATTTGTTTTAAAGAGCAACGTTTTTTGGAGTGTTGAATCAAACAAATTAAATGAATCATTTATGTGTCATATTAAAGGACATTGCTTTTTCTGTTGAACACAAATTTGTCATTATCAAATTATGAAAAAATAAATAAGGGCAAGAATTTTTTTAAATAATTTATTGTTGTAAGACACAGTATGATTATAAGGATGCATTACTTGCATTATTAAGAACAGGCCACTATATATATTCAGTTTAAATTACTGACAATTCTCACATTGGTGAATAAACCTTTAGGTGTGAAATATTTATATTGATGGAGTCATATTTATACAATTTTCATCCCTTTGCATACAGTAGTCCACAGGTGATATTCTTTCAAAGTCAGTTTTTTTTTTGCTACGATTTAATGGAACCTTTTGGTGAATCTAGTAATCGATAGACAGGTCA